CTACTATGCTCTGCTCTACTCTATTCTGCTCTGCTCTATAATCTGTTCTACTCTTCTCTACTCTATTCTGCTCTGCTCTATAATCCGTTCTACTCTGCTCTGCTCTACTCTATAATCTGTTCTACTCTGCTCTACTATATTCTGCTTTAACTGGTCTACTATACTCAGCTCTACTCTACTCTACTCTACTATGCTCTGCTCTGCTATACTCTATACTGTGCTTTACTCTGCTCTATTCTACTCCACTTTACTCTGGTCTACTCTATAATTTACTCTTCTCTACTCTGCTCTACTCTATACTGTACTGTATTCTGCTCTACTCTGCTCTGTTCTCCTCTCCTCTGCTCTACTCTGTTCTGCTCTACTCTGCTCTACTATACTCTGCTCTGCTTCACTCTGCTCTACTTTGCTCTACTCTACTATACTCTGCTCTACTATACTCTTCCCGGCTCTGCTCTACTCTGCTCTATTCTGCTCTGCTCTTCTCTACTGTGCTGTGCTCTACTTTATACTCTACTCTACTCTACTCTGGTCTACTCTATAATCTACTTTTCTCTACCCTATTCTGCTCTACTCTAGTCTGCTCTACTCTGTACTCTTCTCTACTCTATTCTGGTCTGCTCTGTTCTACTCTGCTCTACTCTACTATATTCTGCTCTACTCAGCTCTGCTATACTCGGCTCTACTCTACTTTACTTTGCTCTTCTCTGCTCTGGTCTACTCTGCTCTACTTTGCACTTCTCTGCTCTACTATACTCTGCTCTACTATACTCTACTGTGCTCTGCTCTACTCTATTCTGATCTGCTCTATAATCTGTTCTACTCTGCTCTACGCTATTCTGCTCTTTAATCTGTTCTACTCTGCTCTACTATACTCTGCTCTACTCTATAATCTGTTCTACTCTGCTCTACTATAATTTGCTCGACTCTGCTCTACTATACTCAGCTCTACTCTACTCTACTTTGCTGTTCTCTGCTCTACTCTATTCTGCTCTACTATGCTCCACTATACTCTTCTCCACTCTACTCTACTTTGCTCTGCTCTATTCTGCGCTGCTCTACTCTACTCTACTCTGCTCTGCTCTCTCAAAAATTGAATTGTTTTATTGACCACAAAACATTTCTCTTTGTCTTTGTAATATTCCCACCATAAGGCATACATTTGAGGAAATATGATGCAACCTTAAAAACAGAATAATGGTCACTACTGAAACAGGACAGTCAGTACTGAAACAGTGCAGTCACTACCGAAACACTGGGTGTTTTGTAAAAAATAAAGTATATTGAGTTATCAACTATCAATCTGATCAGCGTTATGCATTTTACAAAGAAAGATTGCATTTAGATTTTGAAGAATTCTATAATTTGAACTTTGAAATTTGTTAAAATATTAATTTTTATAGATTTAATTGTGAAAACCTTCAGTCAAAATTTGTAAAAATTTTAATCTTCAGACAAGGGAAGGAACAAGCATAACAGGTTGATATATATTTTTTTGTATAATATAATACTATATGTTTCGGTAGTGACAAATTTTGGGAGAGGAAAAACATTCCAAAACACTCTGAAAATACAATACAAAAATTTACAGTCATTTTACTAGATATGTGACCTTTACATATGGTACAATAGGGACAAAGTTTTGGGAAAAAAAACATACAAAATTTCAAAATATTTCCAGCCTAACTTTGCACACATTTGGTAGAATGCCCCATCTAAGAAAAATATATGCATGGATACTGCATGAATAAAAGCAGACATACAAAAAAGCACATATTCACTTATAAACATACATGGGTAAAAAGTAGATAGAGACATAAAAAAGTGCAAGCCATACATAAAAATACAAAAACCATAAAAGAGACATACAGTTTAGCATATGAAAAAGTTATGAAAACATAAATACCTTTTTAAAATGTGCATTGATATATAAATAGGAAAAATAGAGACATGAGTGATGCATTAAAAATGCCTGAAAAATCACATGGATTACTACCTGCAGTTCATAAAAAATACAGACTCTGACATACAAACATTCAAGAAGAAAAATGGAAAACATACTTACCTTGTTAAAATTTACACTGAAATATGAAAAGAAAAACATACATACATATGTACATAGACATAAAAAGCAACCCACACATACTAAAGAATACTAAAGAACATACAAGCAGATATATATTAAAGTATATATATAAACAATGAAAGTATACATACCATGTGAAAATGTGCATTGATACATAAATATGAGAAAAATATAGACATGAATGATATATGAAATATTCCTGAAAAGACACATGGATTACTAACTACATTACTTAAAAGGACTGAGTGTTAAGATCCCTAACGATTCAGCACAACAATTCGGAAATTTCCTCTTGGGCGGGGTGGAATTTGGTGATGACCATGTCACGTGGTCCACGTGGTGCCAGCAGTACAACACATTGTCAGTTGTGTACCCCAGCTTCATTGGGTGTTTCGGCTGTTTATCACAAGTGTTACGACTGTTGTCGTAAGTTGTTTGTGTTTTTACTGCATGTGTTGTGTTTTTCCGTGCATGTTGTCTCTCTGCTTCTTGTATTTTCTATATGCAAATAGGTGTGTGCCACAGCCTGGCAGGGATTGGTGGATTGAATCTGTCCTCATTTGCAATTGGCTGCAGCTGAGGGCGTTCGATTTTTTTAAAGGACCAATATGGCGGTTGCCGGGAGCTAGCAGGCAGACCTCACCTTCCTCCTCTCCCAACCGGCCACACATATTGTAGTATTGTCGTATTGTAGTGAAACAGCATTTTTGTATATATTGGTAAGTAGGGGTGGACTGCCAGTTTTGTTGCTGACCCTTTTTTCTCCTTTTTATTTAATTAGGAAGGTAAGATTTTTTTGTCATTTATTTCTTATTGTTTGGTTAGGTTATTTACTTACTCCCTTGATAGAATTGTTTTGTTAGTTATTTTGGCCTTAGTCCACCCTGAAGTTATTATTTCACTCACTTCTGTTATTCCATTTATTGTAATAAATTAACTATTTGATCGTTCCACATATTTGTATCCTTGTGGCTACTTGGGACTTGGGGAAGATGGGGCCTTTCATGTTGTGTCTCAGACACCCCTAGACTGGGCATAACACAAGGCAAATTGTGCTTCAAGTCAGTATTAACTCTAAAATATTTAAAAGATGAGTCTGATGAGTTTCTTGTTTTACAAATGAGGAAAAATTGGATAAGAAATTCAATGAAAAGACCAAAACCAACAATTAATAAAGGGCAACAAATTGTTTGACCGATACCATTTTATTATCAGACTTTCTGATGGTGTATTTTCAGGTTCACTGTTTTGTCTTTCCTTTTTATTCCTGGTGTGTATTTTTTTCAAAGGTCTACAATACAGAAATATTAACAGAATGATATTCACAATAGATGATATAAAATATATAGCATATTGAAAAACTTGCTTGTTTGGGTTTAATATAATCTTGACAGTAATGTCTGCCTCCAGACTATACTGCATGAGCTGTGTAAGGGTTTGTGAACAGATGTTTTCATATAGTGTTGCTGTTGTTAAACACAGCCCTCTTTATCTACCAGTTCATTAACAGCTTGATTTGATGAATTTAAGGTGTGTTGTTGATATACAAAGACTCAGAAAGGTTGGCAGTTTTCACTCTCAGATGTACCTCTGTGGCAGATTTTATGTTAGAGTATTCTTGGGCTGAGTGATACATCCTATATACAATATCGCAATATTTTTAGGCTGTGGCCGTACACAATATTTTTTTAAATCTCCTCTAAACTGCTGATGACTACATGAATAATAAACTAAACTACAGTTAGAATAATTTAATAATAAATATAATAGCTACTGTCATATAGGCCTATTAGATTTAAATATACTGTTACAGACAATGCTGTCATAATAAATTTAAGTATTTTTTAAAGTGAAATAAATCAATATTGAACAACTGGGGCTTTTATTCTGAAACACCTGACTGGTCTTGGGCCTCAAGTGTTGATGTTTTTACTGTGAGTTAGCAGAAAGTTAAACTGCCCAGTTAAACTGGAGGATTTATTCACTGTGTGTTGGAAACAAACTAAGAGCTCTCTAGTTCATATATTGATGTGTGCAAGTCACATTGGTAGTCTATGGTCACAAAATGTGACAAAAAAGTTATGATCTGGAGCTCTGCAGATACAGAAACACGCCTTGTCTGCTCACATTAGTGTTAAAATCATTAACAGTTAAACTGTTACTGTGGTGCCATTAAACATGAGGATTTATTCACTGTCAGTAGGAGAGAAACAAACAATTTTCCAGTTCATATCTTGATATCTGCAAGTTGCACTGGTGCTCTGAGGTCACAAAATGCGACTTAATAGTCATGGTTTAGCAAGGCAGTAACTACATTACATATTGGAAGAGAAACTTCCCCCCAAATATTCAAATATGCTAAAAATAGATTTGTTCCCTCTCAACGATAACTCCATGACTATGGCCTTGTGGTCTGTCCTGCAGATACAAAAGCACATGCCTCTCATACACTATCCCTCTGGTGAGAGAGGTCTGAATGAGTCGTGAGTTCATGAGTCTCATGCTTAAGAAAATGTTGTGATGTGTGTTCGCAATATGATCATTTTATATATGTTACATATATATAAGCTGTGATACAGTGAGTATAACTGATATATCACCCAACCTGGGATATTCTAAACAGCTGCACATGGGAGGTTAAAGTCTCTTAAAATACAGTTGGTGGTCAGCACGGTGGTGCAGTGGTTAGCAATGCTGCCTCACAGCAAGAGGCTTCCAGGTTAGAACTGTGGCTGGCAGCATGTGTGGAGTTTGAATCTGAGTTTGTAATTTATTGTGCTGTTATGTATTTTTCTTCTCCAGAGAAGAACACTTTTCTCCAGAAAAGCTGGCTTGAATCTTCCTCTCAGCACATTAAAAACAAATAAAGACATAGACTTTGCTCTCATCATACATACAGAGGCACAAAACAGACTGAGGGAAGATATATGTTTTATTAAAATGACCACACACAGCACTAAAGTATAGACACTGCATCAGGAGAACATCACTGGTCTAACTATTTACTTTGATTAATCATTTACATGTTTGTCCAGCCAGCTCATGTTTATCATATCCAGTTGACTAAAAAGCTTTACTGGCAAGTGGGAAGGTGCATCACACCATCAACACACTTCTGACGCAGGCCATATCTACCAACAAGTGTTCTTCGTCTTGTACACATGAACTCGATTTCATCATTATGGGCTGAATACAGCTTATCGTCATATATAAATCTGAAGGCAATATTATGTACGTTCATGGAGTCTCTGTCCACAGTGCAGGGTTCTGGAAGAGATAAAAGATGAGCAGCATTTTATTAATGGGGAATGACTGCAGCATACTGCGTATTTGATTATTGCTCGTGTTGCTGAATCTTCACAGAATGCAACATGGAAAATATAAAGGGAGTTGTAACTAACTGAGGCATCTCATCTGTCCAGTCCATTCACCATTGATGCAGGTTTTGTAAGGCTGACCCTCCATAGTGTAGTAATTCTGACAGATGTATTCAACCCTGTCATTATGTCTGTACTGGAACTGAAAAGATGTCTTGATGTCTCCATCTAGAAGTGATGGTGGTTTACCACAACCCAAAGGAGCTAAAAGAATTTAAACAACCACAAAAATACAAACAAATGAGTCATTTCCATAGAAGCCTGTATATGTATACACTGCCAGTTTATTAGGTACACCTAGCCAAAACTAATACAGTCTAATAAAGCAGTTCTGCAGTCAGTCCCACCTTCATGACAGTTTTAATGTTCAGGTCTTGCTAAGATCACTTCTCCAGAGGTGTTATTTCAACTTTATGGTAAAGCTGAATCAATGTTACAGTCATTTTTATGAAACTTGAAACACTGAGAAGCACTCAAAATAACTACTAATTACCAGGAATAAATAGCACAAAGATAATATGTAAGCAAAACACAGAATATACAGAGCAAATCAAGCCCTCTGAGACTGCAGCGCACTGTGGAAAGAGTCCAGTCCCCAGAAGAAAATGTTGGCACTGTACATTTCTGCAAACCACAAATACATTACATTAGCATGTTTTATATGCATCATACCAATGTTCCTAAAGTGACATAATGTATGAGCTGACTTTGTCATCAGGTGGTGGAGGGGATGGTGGATGGCGTGTTTTCTGGGTGAGACGGCTGCTAAGGTGCAGATCAGCGTTCGAGACCAACAAACAACAAAACTGGTTGTGATTTTGCGAGTCATTGCTGTGTTTCCAACATCTTTTTAGGCATCAAACGTTGTTTTGTGACCTGTCGCTGCTTTTCCAGCTGGCATTGTGCCCCCAGACACAGATATTTTAAGCCAAAACATGATCTTTTCCTAACCATAACCAAGTGATGTTTGTGCCTAAACCTAAGCACACATTAATTACAGCATTGTTGAAATATCAAGTTTATAATTGATTTACCTCCACATGTTGGGAAGGGATCACTCCAATGTCCATCTGCTAAACATGTGACCACTGCTTTCCCTTGAAGAAAGTCTCCACGCCTCCTGCACCGAAAGGTTAACTTTTCTCCTATTCTTAGTTGATTTACTCGTACACGTGAGATGAGGAGAACGCTGCCTGATACACCTGTGACTTTGCAATTTTCTGTATTGAAGAAGAGACACTGCTTAATCATTAAGGTTTATACAGTACAAATAGCAGCATAATAGTTTTAGGATCTGACTTTTTGGGTTTCATGAACACAAATCTGACGTAAATCTTTAATGTCATAATCTTTGTTACTTTACCTTACCTCTGTATGCAAATCTATGTAAATGCACTACTTACTGGAATTATACAAAGATACAGTATGTTTTAATCCAAGTAGATGTTTTTTTAAGATTAGAGATACTACAATAGATATTTTTCTATTAACGATGGATCACATGACTACTCTCATTCAAAATCCTCTATCTGCTCTCAGAACATTGCTTTCTGCGTCAGTGGGCTGCTGCTTTCAGTGAAAACGCTCTAAAAATGGACTTTTACTAGGTCGTGAACACGCTGGAGCCTTTAGCAGCTAAAGAGAAAGACATTTTTCTGATGAGCTGGTGGAGACCAAAAATGGAGCTAAAACAAAAGAGAAGATTTTACCATTTTCCAGGTGTCCAGAAACAAGACTCCTGATGAATACCGATCAACTGCATGTGCACATATGCTAAGAAGTTTGCTGTATCAATTGAAAGATGACTGTCAATTTAAGTTCTACACCACAGCTTGTTTCTGCTGTCCCCAAGTGGCTAAAAAAATAGAATTACTTTATATACTTTATAATATTCAACTTTAGGTTTGACCTGTTGTCTTTGAGTTTGATTTGACGTTTGATGTATCTCGCATATCTACATCAATCTCCAGTATCTCTAATCAAACATAAATATTTAGATTTTGTCCTCATCTAATTAGCATTAATTTCTACTATATTCTATGAGTTGTACTGTGAACTACTATTCAAGTTCTTCTAAAATGATGGGTGAACTCAAATATGCAAATAAAGCGCTGAGTAAAATCAATATAAATGGAATTAACCTCCATGAAAATGAACGTACCAGCGCAAGTTGGAAAGGCTGCACTCCACTGCCCAGTTTGTAAACATTCACTTTCTGCAGACCCCTCCATTATATATTGGTCTTTGCAGCTAAACTGTAATTTATGTCCAATCTTCATTGTTTCATTGGCTGGTGGTAGTCCAGCTACAATGAGATGAGGGGGCATCACGCCAGCCTCACAAGTGATGTCTGGAAAGATTAAAACAGATGTTATCAAATAGAAAACTGTGGAAAGGAGTTTATGTCCCACAAGGTTCCCCCCTTATAATGAATGTGAGTATTGCAACATGCACTACAATTAAAAAGTGTTCCATAAAAATTGAAAATTGTATACAGAATCTTTTTTTTTTTTTTTAATCTTTCAGGGTTTACCTTCACAAGAGGGGAATGGATTATCCCACTGTCCATCTCTGCCACATATCAGCACTGAACTGCCATTCAGATATTTTCCAGGATCATCACAGCTGAATGTGAGGAATCGGTCAGGAAGTATGGGATCGTCATTTTCTGGTATACCTTTTACTATCACACCTATATCGGCAGGTGGGGGGTCGCAGCTCAAAGCTGAGTAAACACAAACAGTCAATCAGGTCACTGAAGCCAAAAAAAACAAAAAAACAGAAGAAGCTGAACAGAGCAAGATTTTGATGTGTGAATGATTCACAGCCAAAATCCCACAGTGGGCTTTTTAACAGACAGCAGGGTCTCCCCATAGAGTTACAGAGTGGGAGGAGGGGTGTTTTTCCACAATGTCACTTAATATAGACATGACTCTTATGGATATTCTAGATTATGTTACGACCACCCGCTTGAATTATTTCAGCTTTGTTTCTGAAAAAATATTTTGTCCATCATTTTGGTATGGTTGTCAGGTTTTAATAATACTGTACCCAGGTGCCTCGGCCACAGTTACCATGGAGAAGAAGCCAGTGAGGGGCACAAACCGCAAAACACTTTGCTGAGGTGAGGTGCATTTGTAGACAAAACAGGGCATCATAGTTACTTGTGTAGGGAATCGTTATTGGATGTATACTGCCAAAATGCAACTTGTGAGTTGTGGTTAACCATTACCCGCCAAAGTTTTTTTTTTACATACACAGACTTATAACTTTGGCTTCTTACCCAAATAACATAAACATTTTAAACGCATTTGCTGATCCACGCTGTAGAAGTACTCCAACTGTGAGCCATGAAATGTTGGCTATGGGAAAAATAGATAGGACTTCTACCAGACATGGGACCAAGTCATTGTTTTGCAAGTCACAAGTAAGTCTTGTTGGGATTCACTGGACCACAGATGATTTGTCATTTATTAAAACTGAAACTGGACATGTGAAGGCTTGTCCTCTTGCCATCTGAAATGGTAAGACACCTCATGTTCTCTGTTCTTCAAATGAAGGACAGTTATTTGACAATCATCTCCACAGGATTACCCACCTCACACCAAAAGTGAGACCAGTCGTCAAACTTGATTGGACAGTACTTTTACAGTGACATGCCCCTCTGTGATGTCTCCAAGCAAACTTTAGGAAAAGTTGTGCTTTCTCACACAGTCTCCCTTTGCTCTTTCCTGCTGGGCCATTGACCAGCCCAGACAGGCTCTCTCTTCCTCCTGGGCTCTGACCTGCCCAGAGGCCCTTTACCCCAAACCACTAAAGGGAGGGCAATTGCTCACAGACTCTCTTTCTCCTGAACCACAACTTGCCCTCGCTCATGGCAGGAGCAACCTGAAACCAGAGACATTAGTGTGCAAAAACAAGGTTTGCAACTAACTTTCCAGCAACAAGGAGAGCCAAGTTGAGTTAGCACCCCAACGTCTAACTCTGTTGTGACTGTTTGCAGTTAGGTTATTGGTTAGGTGGTTTCTCCAAAGCTAAGTGAGGTTAGTTTGCTAATGCTGTTCTCAGACAGTGTAGCACATAACTAAACATCCTCTGCACTAATCCAGACCGTTTGCAACACACGTCACATTGACATAGACTCATTAACAAATAGGCTTTCAACAGAGCTACACCCAAACAGGCAGCTCAAAGTTCCCGCTTCTTTTTCTTTGTCTTTGTCCTGACCACACGATCAGACAAACACCTCCCCTGACCTGAAGCCAGCTTTGATTCGGCCATCATTGATTACCACACCTCCCTTTGTCTCTCTCTCTCTCTCTCTCTCTCTTACATACACACACACACACACACACACACACACACACACACACACCAAGCTTGTATAGTTAGTTAGTAAGTTTGAATCTGTGTGTTTTGTTTTGCTTTGCTTCCTTTATGAATAAATATATTTTTGGAACCGCACCTGCTGTCTGTTTAATGTTGCACAAGAGTGAATGAATAGTCAACCTCTGCTGCATCAAGAACTCCGAAATCCTTCAGGCTTTACTGTTAATTTTGGTTTTGGTTATTATTTTAATTATTAATCAAAATTCCGATTCCGAAATTTCGATAGTTTAGTAAACTTTATGAGACTGATATCTTTAATGTAAATTAAGTCACATTATTTAACATAATTCATTATCATTATTATTAATTATTTGAGATAGCCAATTTAATACTTTAATTGGAGATCTATTACGAGGTCAGGCCTGTGTTAAGGCTTAAGTCCCAACAAATGGTGCCACCATGTAAAACATGGCACTTGTGCTTAGATCACAAAAGTTTTGGTGCCTCTGTGTGACGCCCAGTATTGTTCCCAACATTAATGATGCCCCTGTGAGGCCTACTATTGTAATTCCCAACAGTTTCAAGCTTTTGCACTCAAGTCCTGGGTCAAGCATGACAAGTCCCAAATCCTAAACCTGAAGTTTCGAGTCTTAAAGAAGTCATATTGTGTCTTTTACATTTCACCAAATGTAAAGCCATTTTAACAACAGTCATAATATATTAAATTTCCAAAACTCATGAATGCTTTAAAAAAATTGATTTATTTGTTAAAACAAGTTAGTTGGAAGTTATTGCATCTTTGCAATTTCTGACCCCCACGTTTTACACACTGAAATTTGCTTTTTTTGACTATTGCATATTCATGGTATGTGAATGAAATTACTTTGGTATCTTTTTTTTTCCCAACTGACACTGAGCAGCATAATGTTATAATGCTGTTGTAATGCTCTTCATGGTTCAATCCTGCAACTTGACTGGTATGGATGCTGTCAGATTGGTTCAGACAAAGTAGATTTGAGAAATTAACTGTCGACTGCTGGGAAACAGTAGTGTTAATGTGAGTTGATTTAGGAGATAAAGTGACACTTTTTAAATAACATTTTTTAATCTTTGGGCTCAGGGGAAGGTATCTAGTATTTTGAAGTCTATTGGCTCAAGTCCATGTAAAGTCACAAATCATTGGTGGTAAAGTCCAAGTCAAAGGTCATCAAATTTGAGACTTGAGTCCACACCTTTGACTTTTATTACCCGGATCAGGGGTGCCTGTAATAGCTCCTCTGACTTTGCAACCAAGATGCTGAAAAGTCAGCATATAGTACTTCAATAAAATAAAAACTTCATCTGAGCAAAATGTTCCAGCATAGCTTTAAAGCTGATAGTGATTGACAGGACTTGCATCAAAATTGCTAATTTGTGTTGATACAAAGACTTACGTTCACATGTTGGCACGTGATTGGTCCATTTGTCCAGCAAACAAGTCCTGGTGTCTACCTTACTCACCATTTGATACCTGCAATAAACAGTGTGATAAACAGTAACATTGTTGTAAGCACATATTGGGACATTTCTTTGTGTTTATTACCATATTTGTCACAGCAACTCTTCCTGTAAAAGCTAAGGTACTGGTGCACCAGATGACAATATGTCACAATATACAGTACCATATTTACATGACAAACAAGAATAAACATTGAAAAAAATGTCCTTATATTTTAATGGCTGTGTTGCCATTTTGTTTATGGGATAACTGTTCTAAATGCACATACCCTTCATCACAAAAGTATTTGATTGTTGTTCCAAAAACAAACTCTTCACCGCGGATGATTTGATAATAGCCATTGGGTGTGTCATCAGGAAGTTCACATGGCTTCACTGAAAACAGAGAAAAAGATTATTCATCATACAGTTCCTTAGAAGGTCATTTTTTAAGAAGTCTATTTTGAACTTTAGTCCTTCAGGCTTCTTTGTTGGATTTTATTTGAAAGCAATGGCAAGCTGACAGTGACATGATTTTGTTCCACCTTTGTTCTTTTGATAACAACACTATATTGTGCAGCAGACATGTTATTAGTTTGTTGCTTTGAAGAAGCAGGTGGATGTCTAGTTATTAGAATTTTTGTCAACAACATAATGCAGCATTTGTTTTAACTCTCTTAGTACCATCTGATTAATTACAGTTACTTTTGGACAGTGAAGTGAAAGGTTATTCAGATATTTCCAAATGTGAGCAAGCACGTGTAATTTTCGTCTCTAACTATGGAAAATTAATTACACTTAATTACAATTGTGTCAACAATCTGTCAAACTACTCTGGACATTTGGGAAATTTTAAAATATACCGAATTCCAACTTCTAAATGATTCACATTTGTTGTAACCTGATTACTGCAGTCACCCAAGTTGCAACAAAATAAAGAGTCAAGCAGAAAGCCATTTAACTCACGGTAGCACTTTCCCTTACGGACTGCAATCCAGCCTCCGTCAGTACACATATATCTGATGGCTGGGCCCGATATATAACCAGTTTCACAAGTGAAATGTATCACGTCTCCTGTTTGGTAAGCTGCTTTTTTGGTCTCCTCTGACAGTTGGGAGTGTGGAACATCTGGGAGCACTGAACATGCTGACAAACAGCAACATGAGGAAGAAAAGAGGAAACTGGACATACAGTATCTTCTTAACAGGTGTGTGTTACAGATGCCAATCAGATTAGAATAAAAACATGTAAATCTGAATATCTTTAGTGGTGCAACTAGGTAAGAATATAACTTTAAGACTGTACACCATACTGTAATTAAGCCAAGCATCACGTGCTTATATTAGATCCTTCTTTCGTGAACCATAAGCCCCTTCAGAAAGCGAGTGCTTAAAAAAGTCTGTCTTACCATTCTGTGATAAAGAAACTTCCACCTTCCCCCACAGTTGGAGACACAAAAGCATTAAAGCCAGTCGCATTTCAATGAGCAGGTGTGCAGTCACAAACGAGAGTCTAACTGAGGCTAACTTCTTTGACACACTCTGTTTTCTGTGTCCCAAACCGTGGTCCTTGGGAAGTACCGAGGGTCATAACATGGACTGCCCAGTGGGATTGCACAAGGCTGAATGAACACAACATGACGCATGGGAACACACACAGCATGTATTTTTCACATAAGCAATACTAAAAGCTTCAGAAAACATAATGTACAGTATCTTTTGTGCAATAATAATAATTGTATGGACTCTTCGTGTATATTTATATCAAATGAATTCATGAAATACTGCAAGGGAGTTTGCTTTCAACCACAAAAAAACAAATTTTCTGATGAGATAAGATAAATAAACTTTTGGGACAGATGTCAGGAAACACTGCTGATAAATCACATCAGATTTGACCTGACAGTATAAACAACAACAACCAAAACAAATACCAGCAGCATTAAGGCCAACAGGAACTATTGGCCTTGAATGCAGCACATACAAGATGATTATATTATCCCAGGGGACTGCATAGAAATACAGACTAAAAAGTTCAAGGTCTGATATGTTTGTGAGTATCTGCTGATGATTAAACAGTCTCTGTCCAGTTTGATTACCACACTCAATGTTTCGTCAATAGTGTTGATACTACAGTACAAAGTCCATTGTAAAAATCAATAAGTGGAACAAATAGTCAATGAAGCAATTCCATTGCAGTAAATTGTACTGATGGTACTGAGAGAGCAACACTGTTTATATTGCACTAAAATGATTCATACTGAACAGTACATCAATTTCAGAGCTGAATTCATCACGTGTCACTGTCACTTGTTTTTCTGTTGTTGAGGACACTGTATTGACTTGCATTCAACATGCTGAACCCCCATTCATACCGTTACCTAACTTAGAAGCTTCTAATTTTAACCATAAACCAAGTATTAGCCTTAAAAACCTAAAAATGTTAAACTTTGATTGGATGCAACTGTGCTACAATTTACGTATGGCAGATTGAATATTTAGCCCGACAAACATATCAACTGTAAATTAAAAACTCTTTATTATTATTATTCTGTTTCTCTATTGCACTTTTATTTAATTTGCCTACTTACTACTGCAGTGTAACTGTATTCTTACTCTATTCTATCATATTTTATTTCATTTTCTTTGATTTTACTTTTTATTTATTTTTTTAAAATCTAATTTTTAAATTTTGTTTGCCTTTTTATGTTTTATTTTATATGTACAACCATTTCACCTGCCTCTGTGTTTGAAATGTGCGGTATAAATAAAGTTGCCTTTCCTTGTGTGAGCAGACTGAAAAAAATGCACATTACGATTGTCAACTGTTTCAAGTACCATGAAGTTTTCTGAGTCACTGTCTTCTTCTAAATCTTTGCTCAAAACACATTTTTAAAATGTTGCTTTTATGCAATTCTGTAATTTGTATGTATAACTTATGTATGTAACATAACAATGTATGTATAATAATTTGTATAATGCACTATGTAAATGAATCTTGGATAAGTATTTGTTTGTCAGCCCTGTGATAGTCTGGTGATCTGTCCAGGGTGTACCCCACCTCTTGACCAGTGTCAGCTGGGATAGGCTCCAGACCCCCTGCGACCCTTCACAGGATAGGCAGTTAGTAATAAATGTTTTTAGAAATGTGTTACAGAAATCCCAATTACAAATATTAATTCATGTTGAGCTGTGTTTGATCTAAAATGCTGTTTTGTCACTCTGGATTATCGAGGATTCCTTTTCACATTACGCAGCATTTTTATGTGTTAATTAAACTGTTTGGCCAGAGTTAAAAAAAAATGAGATTGGCCAAGTGTGTTGTGCACATGCTTAAATTTGATATATTCAGTTTTGACAAAGGCAGCTTCTTTGTCATTTATATGTATCATACATGCACTAAATGCCCTTTCATGAAAAACAGTGCTGGGTAATTGAAATGCAGGAGATAATCTTTAAATTCAAACTTCACAGTGGGCCACACTACTGAGAGAGATGACTGACACAGAATATTTTCTTCCGAGATGAAACCTAGTTTTGAAAACCTGGAGCCACTTTTGAAATTTTGCTTACAAGCTGTATGTTTATTCCTACGAGTTGATGGGTTCTGTGATTTAAGAAAGCTCTTTTTCTTCTTCTTTTGCGCTAATAAAACTTAATTTTGCCTTTTTAGAACTATTTATGAAATTCTGCACCAACACACAGCTCGACACACTTTCACACCCTAAATGCTCTAAATGCCTCCCCCATAACTTTTTACACTTCATATATTTAGTCATCATAGGCCTGGTTTTCATAATAATGATAATAGTAATAATGAAAAAAGCCTTTGTAATTTCCGTATCTTTTATTCAATATGGCAAAGCTGTATCATTTCAGATCACTTTATTACACAAATGATTGATAAAGTAATTCACTGTCCAACACTTCTATGTATCATGATCATGTATTGTGTATCAAATGACTCATCAGTATGAATAATGCAGACAACAAATGCACGTTTCTTTCTCCAAAAAACCGATGCAAAATGACTTCTCTAGACCTCCAACAAAATCAGCGTCACTGTTCCTCAGTGGGAGCTGTGGGAGAAAATTTCTGTGTTCAGCATCACATCTCAACAAGCAGTGTGTGTAAATCAAGCATCCAGTTCTCAGACACTGTCTGGTTTTTGCAGTAAAACTCTTTAATCATCCCCAAGCATGTTTTATTTTTCTCTCGTTTTGTTATTCGTAGTGTTGTTTGGTGAATAACCTATAACTCAAAAATACATTTTTACACAAAGCAGTGACTGTGGATTTGTGGACAGTATGGAGAGGAGGAGTGAATACAGTGGTGACCCATATCTCTTTCAACCTATATATTGTTTGTGAGTACTGTGCTAAGGTGGGCTTAAAAGAAATTTAAACATATCCTTTTCATCTTCTTTGACTTTCTCCTTACCTTTACATTCTGCTGATTTATTCCACTTGGTATTGGCACATGTTGCATCGCCATCAACACCAGATATGACACATCGATACTTTATGATATCCCCGTCCATACATCTATTTTTGTCTGTGTTGAAGTTTATGTATTTTGTTGTTAAAGTTCTGTCTCCTTGAAAATATTTGTTATATATGTTACTAATTAGTTTTCCCCTGTTTAAATTGTGGTGTCAAACATAATCACTTCCTGGAAGCACAGGTGTTCAACACCAGAGTCAGGGTCAACATCCTGAGTCCAGCATGTGCTTTGGTTTAGGCAATGTAAGCACTTTGGTTAAGGTTAGGAAAGATTGTGGTTTCTGTTAAATGTTAATAAACACATTGTGTCACTAATCCCTGGATACTTTTCCTGAATTTAACCAAAAGATCATGATTTTTCTCTAACCTTAATCAGACATTATGAAAAGTCAGCAGGCTACATATTTTAGCTTTAAAACTGGAATCTTGTCAAAGCTTTCTGTGTATGACTTTGTGAAATGCTTTTGGATATACGTACGTGTGCACTTAATGTCCTTAGTCTCCCATTTCCCATCTATGCATTGAATTGAGTTTTCTCCATCTATTAGAGTATACTTATTAAGGCAGGTATAAGTTACTATAGAGTCAGACAAGAAATCCCTCTGATATGGAATCATAACAACTGCATTGGCAACTTTAGGTGGGGGACTGCAGAGATTGGCGTTTGCTGCAAGAGATGAAAACATGTACAGTATTAATAAAAAGATTCCATGGCGTAACCTAAAACTGTACATGTGATAATACAAAACTGAAGATAACTCACGTGTACAGATTGTTTTGTGGGAAAATCCACCAAAATCCCATTTTCCCTGGCGACAACTAAAGCGTTCAACCTGAGGGGTGTACCCTTCCTTACAGGTAATCCTGTAGCTTTGGTCTTCTCTACGTGGATGTGTCACTTCCGCATTAGGAATCACAGGAATCTTTCCACACTTTTCATTTTCTAAATATAAATACAACCAGTTAGGTCTATATATATAGTGGCTCACAAATTTTGTGATAGCAATGAATAAACAAATTTCCTTTCATAATTAGCCTGCATCACGGCTGTCACTTGTAAAAAACAAAACAAAAAAACAAACAAACAAAAAAAAAGAAGGCATTTTTAGCTGATTTAAACTAACACACAATTTGTTCATACACCGATCAGCCAAAACATTAAAGGACAACTTCAGTATTTTTCAACCTGGGCTCTATTTCCCCATGTGTATGTGTGCGTATGATTCATGGGTACCACTCGTTCTAAAATTGGTTCAGTATTGAGCCGCGAAACGAGCTAAAACGGTAACAGGGGCAAATGCGTCCCGTATAAGTTTGCGCATTAAAAGTGCTTTTTTCGCCACTGACCGGTTCAGATCGCCATTATTATCTCTGTAGATAGAATATTGTAGCGACCCTGGGGCAGTGGTGACTGTGAATGAGTGGAGTCAGCTGTCAGTCAGTGTTGGAGCAGAGAGGCAGATGGCATCCCCGCTTGGTAATGTAAATGATTATGTGTGTGTGAAGTGTGTGTTACGCTAGAAGAGTCAGAGGATGGAGTCTTTAACGTGCTACTCCCTGGAGTGTTACTGGAGTTTTTGGAGTGCTCAAATAAACGGGCCTTTTTCCCGAACGCAAGAACAGGATGTCGCACAACACCCCATACAGCGTTCATTGCTGGCTGCCTTTGTCAGATGGCGAGATGCTGAAGTTGTGACTAGTTGTGCTAAAATGGATGCTAACACTCCTGTCCAGACACTGCGCCTTGCAGACCATCGGATCTGCAGTGCTCACTTCTCCCAAGATGACTACTGCCAGCTGAAGAAGAGAAGACATCCAATCCCGAAACACCTCTTCCTCAAGAAAACGGCTGTCCCACGAGTAGAGAGAGCTACAGACACAGTGGAGCAGAGCTTGTGACATTACACAGCCCAGAGGTAAGGGAGAGGCTAAGTTAGCACGCTATATACAGAACCGGTCAGTGGCGAAAAAACACACACTTCACACACGCATACTCATTTACAATACCGAGCGGGGACGCCCTCCACCTCTCTGCTCCAACACTGACTGACAGCTGACTCCACTCATTCACAGTCACCACTGCCCCAGGGCTGCTACAATATGCTATCTACAGAGATAGCACTGGCGATCTGAACCGGTCAGTGGCGAAAAAAAGCACTTTTATACGGGACGCATTTGCCCCCGTTACCGTTTTAGCTCGTTTCGCGGCTCCGGTTGCATCCGCCTCCCTCAATATTGGACCAATTTTAGAACGAGTGGTACCCATGAATCATACGCACACATACACATGGGGAAATAGAGCCCAGGTTGAAAAATACCAAAGTTGTCCTTTAAACCTGCTGACAGGTGAAGGGTACTTGGTCTGCAATGGTGTTTGAGTGAATGGAACATGTCAGGTGGTATCGACATGAATTGCCAGAACCAAATGGTTCCCAGCAAAACAATGCACTGGAACAAAATAATCAAAGTTATTCACTTCACCTATCAGTGGTTTTATTGTTTTGCCTGATGTATAGGTATAGGTGTAAAGCCTAATAAAACAAAAAATATGCTGTTGTTGTGGTAATATCGGATATGGCTTTCTGTGATGAATGTGATGACTCAGGGCAAGATGTGTTCACTGCCAATGCATAGCATGGGAGTAGGTGGGTTTGACCTCTCTTTAAGAAAATACTCATTGTTTCTATCTTTGTGTATTTCTATAAACCTTTACTGATTTCTCATGTAATGAAACCTAAAAATGATAAACAGCTTGATTTTTTTTGGTTGGCTTAATGCTGGTTACAAGACCTGTGAGGCATTAAAGTTTCATTACCAATGCATTGTTCAAATCCAGACCACTCGCCATCATTACATTTGGTCTCAGCCCACCAGCCTTTGGTGAAAAGCTTATAGCCTTCATCACAGGTGTAGTACACTGTGCCATTGTAGGGGCCAACTGCAAATCCATGTTGAACTTCAGGGGTTGGGCATGCTGTCAATGAAGAACGAAGAACGTTATAGCAAAAGTTAGCATATTAGTATGTTGAGTATGTTAACATGCTGGCGTTAGCATTTAGCTCATGGCACTCCTGTGCCTAAACACAGACTGTCAAATTCATGATGTGCGCACCGGCTGATTTTGCACCAACACTGTGTGTATTTTGGTGAATCAGAATCATTCTAAATTGACAGGCACCTGCCCACTATCTGCAATCACCATCCTGCCATGTCCCCATTTCTCTATTCAAGAAATATGTTTGCCGAGAGGTGTATCATGGGGAAAGCAGTTGTTTCACACACCAGAGTTGGAGAGCATCTGTGAATGTGAAGGCAGTCGTAAACAGCTGGTAAGCCATTTGAGATTAGCCCAAAGGAAAAAGCCAATATAGAGCGCACACTGTTCTTAGTGAGTGAGAGGTCAGTCCCAGATGGGCTGCAATTAATCTGACTACACTGGGTAATCAAACTAACATTGCAGTTTCAATTTTATGTCGCTGTAGTTTTTTTTTTTTTAGCTGCTAGAAGATACTCATTTATTTTGCTATGACAACACACAAACCCTGATCACACCACACTGTAATTAATCTTTAAACTGTATTTGTTTTTGGTGTATGTTCTTACCTGCACACTTCTGAACCCCAGTCCAAACACTTTGCTCACAGGTAACAGTGAAAACTTTTCCTCTTTCGTGCGTGCATGCATAGTGGACCCGTTCATTGTGGCTGTAAGTTTCCTTTTCATTGCGGGTGATATAGGCATGGTCGATGTGAAGTTTTTTACAATATCTCTCTGAAACAGATTAAACAAAACTGTGACATAATTTACACACCACTCAGGTGTTACTGTGAAATTTAGCAGGTTTAAAACAAACTATTTCATATAAGATGTCTTGTCTCCAAGGAAGATAAAATACGCAAAGCCTTTACTGATCCCATTAGTGAGGAAATTCGGTTGTTGCAGCATCACTAAGACACAAAAAAGTACAAATAAATAAAAACATAAGTAAACACTGAAACTATAGAAAGAGCAATTAAAGACAGAGTCACAAAGTAAGGTACCTCCCCTTGTCCCATCTCATATCTTGCAGTGCTTCAGAATGAGCACAGTAATATGGGACATTTACCAAAACTCTTTAAATACACACATGTAGAACTTTTAAGAATGAAGAAATTGAGGATATTTTTGCCAGGCGATTTGTATAGTTGGACACGAGGCACGGAGCTAAATGGGTGACGACTAGTTGTGTGTTTACAACAAGCCTGTTCAAAATATACTCAATTGTTGTGTAAGCCTAAAAACATCAGTTTACAAAGGGATGGAAAAAGAAAAATATTGTACTTTTGACTGTATTGTATTTTTTATTGTCTTACTTGTACAGTCTGGAGATCCGATCCAACCTGTTTCCTTACAGGTCAAACTAAAACTTCCCTCGTGACCATTCTTGCAGATATACTGGACCTGGTCATTGTACCTGTATTCATACTTATAGCTCCCAACTATCTCTGTGTTTCTGTATTCCCTTCTGTCGCACGTTATCTCTGGGAAACAAAAAAAAAAAA